CCCTGCTCGCTGCTAAGCGGCAGCTCCACATCCAGCACGTTCCAGCTCTGCGCCCCGCAGGCGTCCTGCCCCACGTACTCCGACACGTTCTGGAAGGGTCTGCCCCACACCAGGCATTGCGGGGGGTCCAGGGACCTCTGCCCGGCCACACAACCCCCCATGGGGTCCAGCAGCCGAAAGAACACCATGGGCTGGGGTCCCCAAGCCCTCTGTGGTGGGGACAAGTGGGGGACGGGGACCACTTACGACTCCTTGTAGTAGACGATGAAGCTGAGGAGGTCCCGGTACTCGGGGGGCCGGTACCGCTCCCACTTGAGGAAGATGCGATCGGACTCGGTGACGTTGGAGATGAAGCGCAGGGTCTGGGTCTTGCCTGCGGAGAGGAGGAGGGGTTCGGGCAGGGGGTCGCGGCACTGCTGGGTGTCCCTGTCCCCATACTCACAGGACGCCCGGTCGCCGTTGGTGCGGGGGTTGATCTCCGCCTTGTTCTGCCGCCCCTTGGTGCCCGTCACCTCCTCCATGCGGTAGATCTCGGCCAGGCACAGCTTGGGGTTGAAGGCGAAGTACATCTTGCCCACGGGGATGGAGAGGACGTGGTGGCTCCAGTCCCAGAGCTGCTGTAGGTTCTGGTTGTCCAGGACGTACAGGGTGTAATTCCTGGAGGAGACGTGGATGGAGGCGGTGGGCGTGGGGACCCCCAAAGCCATGCGTCCCCTCCAAACCCACAGCCCGTCCTCACCCGTCCACCATGGAGTCGCCACGGATCAGCTTGAGGTTCTTGAAGAAGGACAAGGAGACCAAGGCGAAGGAGTGCTTGATCTTCAGGAAGCCCGTGATGGTCTCGATGAGCCCCAGACTGCTCTGCAGCTCAGCTGCCAGGTTATCTGGGGACAACCAGAGAGCGTGAGCTCAGGGAGGGGGGCACCCCCCCACTAATTCACCCTGCGAGGGAAAAGACCCCCCTCCCTCACCCCCAGCGCCCCGGGACGGGTGGTGGGGGGCCGGCCACGGCACTCACAGCCCCGGCGGATGTTCACGATGAGGTTGCCCTCGACGAGGGTGCAGCCCCCCAGCTCCTGCGCCGCCCGCGTCGAGTCGATGGTCTTGGTGCCCACCTTGCACTCCTTGGGGCACAGCCCCTCGCACTTGTGGCAGAAGATGCTGCGGGCGGGAGGACGGGGACGGGAAGTGAGCTGGGCACCACGCCACCACGGTGCCCGTGCCAGGGGGGGCACCGGGGACCCCCTCCTCACCTGCTCTCGTTCCTGGTGTAGCCCGAGGGGCACTCGGAGAGGCATTGCCGCTGGTGGATGACAAACTTGGAGGCGTCGCGGGGGTTGTCGGAGACCTTGCGGAGGCTGGCGCAGTACTCGGC